TTTTCTCTCTGGGTGGATACCATCATCTGGTCCTCTAATTCACTGATTTGATCTTCTGATTCATCTAACCTACTGTTGATTCCTTCAAGCGAATTCTTCACTTCAGATATTGTAATCTTCATTCCTAACTGATTCTTATTTATGTTTTCTGTATGCTTTTTAATGCTCACTATCTCTTTATTTAAGTTCTCACTGAGATAATCTATTCTTCCCCTAAGGTTTTTGAGCATTTTACAACCATTGTTTTAAACTCTGCATCTGGCATTTGTGATGCTTCCATTTCTTCTATATCTTTTTACTCTTTCTGTGGAGATTTCTTTTGTTCTTTTACTTGGGACATTTTTCTTTGTTTCCCCATTTGATCTCTCTGTGTTAAGTAGGTGCACTATATTTCTCAAACCTACTTTGATTGTTTTATGGCATAGGTGTCTTGTTGGGGTTAGTTGCCTAATCCTTTAGAACACCTGAACTCCATGGTTCAGGAGTGTCTCTTGTGGGTTCTGGACCCCTCTTGTTGTATTTGGGTCTTAAATGCCAATGGCTCCTTTGTGAGCAGAGTTTTCTCTTCAGATTGGGTGACTCTCACAGTAACCCTCATTCTCTGTGTGTGGAATGTTGTACAGTTGCTGCCCCTTGATGTAGCATTGTTCCAGCAGAGTCTGGAGCCTCCAGGAATCCAACATTTGGGTGTACTTATTGTGTGGCTACTTTGCTCAAGCTTTGGTGTGGGCTGAAGCTCACCACTAGTTTTATTGGTTTGGGGTCAAGTTGGAGGGGATTCAGAAATAGGTCACTTTCAGATGTATGAAACCAGTGGTAGCCTGTTTCTCTGTAGCTACCAAGTAGTTTGCTGCTGTGTCTGTGTTTATGGGACCTGCCTTTGTAGGACAGGTTTTGTGAGGACAGTCTTTGTAAAAGAATCAACTCCTTTCTACTTGGAGCTGGTGGCAGCTCTAATAGGCGCTGAGGCTCTTGATGTCAGCCCCCTTTTTATTTGATGTAGAAAGAGAAAGAGAGCTCTCCCTCTCTTTCTTCCTCCCTTCCCCTCTCTAAAAACGAATAAATAAAATCTTTAAAAAATATATCATCCACCATAATCAAGTGAGATTTATTCCAGGAATTAAAGGATGGTACACTATATACAAATCAATAAACAGGATACCTCACATAAACAAAATGAAAGACAAAAATAACACGATTTTATCAATAGATGCAGAAAAAGCATTTGATAAAATCTAGCACCCATTTATGATAACAACACTCACCAAAGAGGGAACAAAGAGAGTATACCTCAACATAATAAAGGCCATATATGAAAAACCTACTGCCAACATCATACTCAATTGGTAAAAACTAAACACACCTTTAAGGTCAGAAACAAGATAGGGGTTTCTGCTTTCTAGTCCTACTCAACCTAACACTGGAAGTCCCAGCCACACAATCAGACAAGATGAAGAAATAAAAGGCATCCAAATTGGAAAAGAGAGAGTAAAATTGTCATTATTGATATGTGACAAAATATTGCACATAGAAAACCCTATAGGCTCCACCAAAAAAAAAAAAAAAATACTCGACCTAATAAATGAATTTGGCAAAGCAGCAGAATACAAAGTCAATATTCAGAAATCAATGGCATTTTCGTACACCAACAATGAACTATCAGAAAAACTAATAAAACAATCCTATTTATATTGCAAAAACAAAAAAAAAGTACCTGGGAATAAATTTAGCCAAGGGGGTAAACACCTGTACTTGGAAAACTATAGAATCCTTAAGAAAGAATTTGAGGAAGATGCAAATGGAATCATATACTGTGTTGACGGATTAGAAGAATTAGCATCATTAAAATGTCCATACTACCCTAAGCAATCTATAGATTCAACACAATTCCTGTTACGATACCAATGGCATATTTCACAGATCTGGAACAAATATTCCAAAACTTTATATGGAACCAAAAGAGACCCTGAAGAGCCTCAGCAATCTTGAGAAAGAAGAACAAAGTGGGAGGGATTACAATACCTCATATCAAACAATACTACAAATCCACTGTAATCAAAACAGTCTGATACTGCACAAGAACAGACACATAGCTCAATGGAACAGAATAGAGAACCCAGAAATAAACCCATGTCTCTATGATCAATTAATATTTGACAAAGGAGGCAAGAGCAAATGGAGTAAAGACAGTCTCTTCAATAAATGGTGTTAGGAAAACTGGACTGGTACATACAAAAAAAATGAAACTAAACCACAATGTTATGCCATACACCAGAATAAACTCAAAATGGATAAAAGACTTAAATATAAATTGTGAAACCATAAAAATCATAGAGGAAAAACATAGGCAGTAAAATTTTAGTTATCTTATGTATCAATATTTTTCTTATATATCTCCTAAGCAAGGGAAATAAAAGAAAAAATAAACAAATGGAACTACATCAAATTGAAATCTTCTGCATGGCTAAAGAAACCATCATCATAATAAAAAGGGAACCCACTGCATGGGAGAATACATTTGTCAGACACATCGGACACATCTCCAAAATATGTAAAGAACTTATACAGCTCAACATCAGGAAAACAAATAATCTAATTAAAAATGGGCAAAAGACTTGAATACACACTTCTCTAAGGAGGACGTACAGATGGCCCATCGGCATATGAAAAAATGCTCAACACCACTAGCTATCAGAGAGATGTTACTTAAAACCACAATGAGATATCACCTCACATTTGTCAAATGGCTATCATTAATAAATCAAACAAGTGCTGGCAAGGTTGTGGAGAAAAGGGAACCCTTCTGCACTGTTGGTCAGAATGCAGACTGGTGCAGCCACTGTGGAAAACAGCATGAATTTCCTCAAAAAATTAAAAATGGAATTGCCTTTTGACCCAGCAATTCCACTGCTGGGAATATACCCTAAAAACCCCGAAACACCAATTGAAAAGAATGTATGCACCCCTATGTTCATAGCAGGGCTATTTATAATAGCCAAGTGCTAGAAATAGCCTAAATGTCCATCTTTAGATGAGTGGATTAAAAAAAACTGTGGTACATCTACACAGTGGAATACTATGCCGCAGAAAGAAAGAAGGAACTCCTACTTTTGTAACAACATGATTGGAACTGGAGACTCTTATGCTAAGTGAAATAAGCCAGTTGTTGAAAGACAAATACCATGTGATCTCATTTATTACAGGAATCTAATGAACAAAATGATAATCAAAATGCAACCAGAAGCATCGAATCGTGGAACAGACGGACAGCTATAAGAGGGTAGGTGGGAGTTGGGGACTATTTGAATAAGGTGAAGGGATTAGTCAAAGAACATGTATGAAGGACCCATGGACATGAACAATGGTGAGGGGACTAATTATGGAAGTAGGGCGTGGGCTTGGGGGAGGGGACATGAAGGGGGGGAAAGTGGGACAACTTTAATAGCATAAACAATAAAAAAAAATTTTAAGAAAAAAACTTTTAAATTAGGTCATCTCTGTATGACTACTGAACGGTTTTCATAAATAAGAACCAAAAGACAGAACTACATCAGAAAGCAAAATCTTGTCTTTAAATTACTGAAAAAATATATAAAACTCCATTCCTGAGCCTTTTGTCCTTCATTCTGCCATTAGACTATGTTGATGTCATGTGTTCCAGTGTGTGTATGTGTGTTTACTGTATTTTTTTAAATATAATTCAGACCATATATTGAGCTCCAGGAATCTTCCTGATGGAACCAAATGATCCCCTAAACCAAAGATCTATTTTTAAACACATTTTGAAGTAGCTAAAATAAGGCGTACTGTAACTCAACTAAAAGCAGTTCAACGAGAGTGTTATAAAGGAAGGAGTTAGGCAAAAAAGAAAAGGGATGCAAAAAGAGAGGAGATGAGAAATGAAAGGAGGACTTGTGACTAAATAAGTAAAAATATCCTCCTGAAGGAGCAGTAGGCACAGTGATCGAAAGTCCCGGCCTAAACCTTGACTGCCAGGCTTGCATCCCTGACTTTCCATTTACTTGCAAAATGGGGGTGATAAGAGTACTTGCCTCATAGGGTTGCTTAGAGGATTAAGTGTCCATTTCAATTAGCCTTTGAGAACCATACACTGTAAGCCCTTGAGAAATGATAACTACTTACCCTATGAACAATACTTTTGAGGTGAGAGCAGTAAGTCAAACCCCAGGGCTGGTATTGGAATTCAACCACCTTGAGCAAAGTTGAACAATGATGGATGCACAAGCCACAGCCTACCTCTTCAATGTCCCCTGTCAAAATAAATTCCTGGGTTGGATGTACCCTGACTGTAACCCAGTGAGTAAAATCCTGTATCTGTTATCTTGGCCTTTTCTGCATGATTTTGTATTTGAAAATGTTAGGTTACATTTTAAAAGTGGGTATTTTGCGGGTTTAATTCCACATGTAATAGCATGAGAGAAAACACTTGTAAAAGTATTTTATTTTATTGATATTATCGGTCTGTGTTTTGGTGTTCTCCACTAAACTATAGGCTCCTCTAAGTAGGAGCCCCAATCTGTTCTTCACTGTAGACCAGCATCCATTTCAGGGCATGGGTATTTTAAAGTAAATTTTCACCAGTAGCATAGAACCAAAGATCCAATCTGTGAGATGGGTTGGGGAAGCGGGGAGACACTAGGGACTGAGACCTGTTTTAACAGATTACCTGAAAAGTTGAGGCTCTCCACTTAAGCTGTTGCAGCAAGACTTGCTTTGATATTGCTGACAGTTTCCCTTCACCAATAAGAAGAGTGCGTCCCTTTAAGGCAAGCACCAAGAAGTTCACAGTGGACGCCAAAGGTCGGGAGCTGAGGAGACAGAGGGCGCTCTCTCTGTCGAGAGGGCTGCCCCTCTCGAGAGGGAGTGGTTGAGGGTGCGTAAAATGGCAGCTGAAAGAGAAGTTGTAGGATTATTTTTTTCCTGCCAGAAGCATGTTCAGCCCACGTGTTATTCCCCCGGGCGCTGGTGACGGTAAACAGGCGGGGTGTTGGCTTGAAGAAGTGGTGCGCAACAGTCTGTCCCGGGTCTCCGTCTCCCGTTGGCTGCTGTTGTTGTTTGCACTTTGCTGCTTCAAAGGTCCTTCAAAACAGCCGGAAGTGCATCGTAGCCTCCAGATATCGGCTGAAGGATCCGCCTGGTGCTGTAGGAAAGGTAGTGAAGTGAAGTAATATGGGGTATTAGACAGCAGAGCTCTCCACTCTGAGCTTCAGCTTGGCGGCTTGGGGCTCCCCTGTCTCTCGCGGAGCAATTCCCTTTGACTAAGTAGACAGCAGAATCTGGCTTCCCCGAAGACACCTGTTGTTGCAGGATTTATTTGGATGCTAGGGCCCTGTTCTTTTCTTGAAAGGTGTTATCTTCTGTGTGCTGTCTTTTGTTATTCCTTCTTTAGGTAGATTGCATAGACTCATCCCTGTGAAGATCTCTGGAGACCATGACTAACAAAAGAATTGCTGTGATTGGGGGAGGTGCGAGCGGGCTCACATCTATCAAGTGCTGCCTAGAAGAAGGCTTGCAGCCCATCTGCTTTGAAAGGACTGACGACATCGGAGGGCTCTGGAGGTTCCAGGTAAATCTCCTGGTTTATTGATACTTGGAACCCTAGCTGCAAGTAGGAGCATGAGATATTTTATCCTGTGTCAGGAAATATGATGGCCTTGACAATGATTAAATGTGCTAGAATTCAGTCTGCTGACCTCTTCTCAGCAGCCATCACTTTTATACAGATTCCTCTTTTCCTAGGCTGGCAGCAAAATGGAATACAGGTATCCTTTGTTTTTCTTTTCAAAAATGACACAGAGGTCGTTTCACTTACTTGAGTTTTGCTGCTATCCAGAAGAGGGAAACACTGGGTTGTGGTGAGAAGGTAACACAGTAACAAACAGAAAATGTAAAGTGGTTAGAAAATTTAGAATGGTTGTTCCTGGTCTGCATTAATAGGTAAGTGATGCAGAGTACCTGCTTACAACTCCTTCCAGGAATCCCCCCTTTTAATCTTCTCTAACCTTATTACCTTTCTTCCCCTCCCGTCCCCATCCCTACCCTCTCCTCTTTCTTTCTTCCTTCCAATTCTGGTTCACTTTAGATAATTCTCTCATAATCATTGTCCTTCAGTAGAATATAAAGTCTGGCTGACTTCTTTCCTTTGAACTTTTCCTTCACTTGAGAATTCAAATCAGTAATTCAAAGTCCTGTCTTCAGAAGAAGGCAGAAGACTCCTGCAACTGAGTTTTCTTGTCTTTGCAAATATTCAGTTTTAAAGTCGAGTTGCTTTAACATCCACATCCAGCACTGTGACTTGTTACTAACAGTTAAGGTATCATCTACTTAAATGATAGTTAAGCTTATTATATGCCAAAGAATATTACCTCCTTTCCTGATCTCCAAAATGACATGCATTGGGTTTGCTTTTAAACTCCCTTTGTAAACCAGTGAATGAGATTGGGGTATTTCATAAAAACTAACATGGTGTTGACCAACTCCTTAAAAGTGGCTTCATAGCATTCCTTAGTTGAAGAGCAATACAGTCCTTTTGCATTGGCTCTGTCTTTGGGGACTATATTTAACAATAGTCTTTATTTAGTTCTAGAGTGGATACTGCTTAGCAAACCACATACTTCCCCCATGCCTCTGTCAAAATCAGTCTTGGGCATGGGCTGAAAAGGCTGTTAATTAGTATTTAGTAATCAAATAGAATAGAAAATTCTATTTTTGAAATCCAGCCACAACATGGTGTAGACTTTAACTGCAAAGTCTGAGTTCAAATCCTATGTCTGTACCTATTAGCAGTCACATGTTGGAGAAAATCAGTAAACCTCTCTGTACTTCTGTTTCTTCATCTTTAAGAAGAAGATAATAACAGTACCCACATCATAGAGTTATTGTGGGGATTAAGTGCATGAATAATTGTGTCAATCGTTAATAACAGTGCCAGGTGCAAAATAAGTGTTATATGTTAGTTATTATTCAGTAGACCTGGAGTGAGGCCAGTATATTTGGTGTCTCTGGTAAGCATCCTTGCCAGATTTGGCAGCTACTGACCAAGCATGAAATCACTATCCCAGTGTCCACCATCCTACATGATCATCAGGTACCTGTATTTTATCTCCAGAGTGGTTTAACCTTGTTCTCTGGGTTAAAGACTAAACTTGGAGTTATTTCCTAATTCTTGGCAAAATTTCAACACTTTGTAAAGTACTCCCTTGAAAATAAATAAGCTACATTTTATCATAAATATCTGACTTAAGATAGACCATATCTGTGTCTATTATATTACATATCATATATTTTACACACACACACACACACGCACACACACAGGAATACATGTTCTTTGGGACAGATCCCAGGGATTCAGCATGTATTTTTTTTCTTCTCAAATACCATCATTTTCTTTTCTTATCTCTATTCTTTTTTCTCTAGTCCACCTGCCAAACAGGAGTAGGATTTACTGCTTGCCTCTTCTTGTTATTGCTGAAATTTTCTGGTAATAATTATTCCCCTTTACCCATGAGGGATATGTTTCAGGATCCCTAGTGGATGCCTGAAACCTCAGATAGTGCCAAACTCTATAGAGACTATGTTTTTTCCAACACATACATCCCTATAATAAAGCTTAATTTATAAATTAGGCACAGAAGAGATTAACAACAATAATTAATAATAAAGCAGAGCAATTATACTATAAAAAAGTTGTATGAATGTGGTGTCTCTCAAAATATCTTACAGTATTGTACTCAACTTTTCACTTAAAGGTGTCACTAATGGCTTCTCTTTGGCATACTGAAATTGTCAGCAAAACTACTCTTGCACTTTGGAACCATTATTATATAATACAGTGTTCCTTGAACATGGCCACTGCAATACTTCTGACAGTCAGTATGATAACCAGGATGGCTATAAATGACTAACTTGCAGGGAGCATATACAGTGTAGATATGCTAGACAAAGGGATGATTCACGCCATGGGTAGGTCAGAGAAGGACAAAATGAAATTTCATCATGCTGCTCACAATGGCACAAAATTTAAAACTTAGGAACTGTTTATTTCTGGAATTTCCCATTTAATATTTTCAGACCACAGTTGACTGCAGGTAACTGAAACTGCAGAAAGCTAATAAGGAGGGACTACTATATATATATAAGTTCTCAAGACATTAGTTTCTGTCAATTATTGATTTCATCACTAATGTTATGTAAGACTGATGGTGGAAAAGTACATCGTGTTAACTTACATTCTCTCCAGCATAAGTTCCAATTTTACTTCATTTTTGCTGACATTGGGTAATTGACATTTTTAAAAATCATATTGTATTGATTATGCTATTACAGTTGTCCCAGTTTTTCCCCCTTGGCCCCTTCTACCCAGCTCCTACCCACACACTCCCTCAGGCAATCCCCACATCTTTGTCTGTGGGACATGTGTATATGTTCTTTGGCTACTCTATTCCCTATACTGAACTTTACATCCCCATGACTATTCTGTAACAACCAATTTGTACTTCTTAATCCCTTCACCTTTTTCGCCCATCTTCTTGACCCCCCTCCCATCTGGCAACCAGCAAAATGTCCTCTGTATCTATGATTCTGTTTCTGTTCTGCTTGTTTCATTTATTTTGTTTTTTAGAATCAATTGTTGATAGATATGTATTTATTGCCATTTTATAGTTCATATTTTTGATCTTCTTAGAGAAAACCCTTTAACATTTCATACAGTACTGGTTTGATGATGATGAACTCCTTTAGCTTTTTCTTGTCTGGGAAGCTCTTTTGCTGTCCTTTGATTCTAAATGATAGCTTCCCTGGATAGAGTAATTTCAGTTGTAGGTGCTTGATTTTTATCACTTTGAATATTTCTTGCCAATCCCTTCTTTTTATTATTATTATCTTTTAAGTCCATATTGTTCTTTCCATTACCATTTAGTCCCTTTATACCCCTCTCTTTCGAGTAATCACCACACTGTTGTCCATGCCCTTGAGTCCAATTTCCTTTTTTGCTCAATCCCTCCACCCTCTAACCTCCTCCACCAACCAGCTGCCATCCTGCTCTCATTCTTTGAGTCTGTCCCCATTTTCCTTATTAGTTCGGTTTGTTCATTAGATTCCATAAACGAGTGAAATCATCTATATTTGCCTTTCTTACTGGCTTATTTCACTTAGCATAATGCTCTCCAGGTCCATCCATACTGTCGCAAAGAGTAAAAATTTCTTCTTTTTTACAGTCAAGTAGTGTGGTGGACCCCATCCCATGGAGTCCTCTGATTCACCATGGATGAAATCACAAGTCATTTCAGACACCAAGTGCTGCCAGGAAAAAGGGAAGGCAGTTCCCTCTAGTGGAGAATGCCCTGAGCCCTTCTCTGAAGTGGTTTTAATTGAGAATGATAAGCCTGCATGCAAAGCTAATCAATCAATGCCTAAAAGCTATATTTACAGAAAACAGATAGAGATCGTAGATAACAATTGAAGGAACACAGAGATTTGCCTCAGGTCAAAGTCTGTTATGTTGATGTCAGATGGTCATTAATGTATGGATCCTGAATTTAGGAATTCACTCCTTCTGATTGGAGCATAAGCATTTGGTTTTTCCTTATCAGCGCAGTGATAAGAAGAGCAAGCATCAGCGGATACAACACATTCTTTAGGCAAGATTTCCTATGGGAACCTGCAGTGTTACCATGTCTGCCTCCCAGCATTCCCAGTTTTCTGGTTGAGACTTATTACAGGCCCTTTTTCAAGGCCTGGCTCCGCAGGGCTACAATTCCACACAAAGTGGTCCCCAACAGAGCAGTATTCCACTGTGTAAATGTCCCATAGTTGTTTTATCCACTCAGTTACTGATAGACACTTCGGCTACTTCCATATCTTGGCAATTGTAAATATGCTTCAATGAACATAGGGGTGCTTATGTTCTTTCAAATTAGTGTTTTGGGTTCCTTCAGATACATTCCTAGAAGTGGGATTTCTGGGTCAAAAAGCAGATCCATTTTTAATTTTTTGAGTTATCTCCAGACTGCTTTCTCCCGGCCTGTAAAGTTTCCATTGACAAATCAGCTGACAGTCTTATAGGAGATCCCTTCTAAGTAACACTTGTTTTTTTTCTTGCCACTCTTAAGGTTCTCTCTTCGTCTTTAACCTTTGACATTTTACTTATGATGTGTCTTTGTATGGGTATCTTTGTATTCATCTTGTTTGAGACACTCTGTGCTTCCTGGACTTGTATGTCTATTTTCTGTACCAAGTTAGAGAAGTTTTCTGTCATTATTTTTTCAAATAGGTTTCTAATTACTTGCTCTCTATTCCTCTTCCAGCAGCCCCATGATGCGAATGTTGGTGTGCTTGATTTGTCTTGTAGGCTCCTTACACTATCCTCATTTTTTTGGATTCTTTTTTCTTCTTGCTGTACTAATTGGTTGTTTTTTGCTTCCTTATATTCCAAATCGCTGGTTTGATTCTCAGCTTCATCCACTCTACTGTTGATTCCCTATAAATTGTTTTTTACTTTAATTAGAGTATCCTTTGCTTCTGACTGGATTTTTTTTATGCTGTTGGGGTACTTGCTAAGTTCCCCTGAGCATCATTATTATAGTGTTTTGAACTCTGCATCTAGTAGATTCCTTGTCTCCATTTTGTTTAGTTTTTTTTTTTCTGGAGTTTTGTTGTGTTCTTTCATTTTGGATATGTTTCTTTGTCTCCTCACGTTGGCAGCCTCCCTGCATTTGTTTCTGTGCATTAGGTAGTGCTGATATGACTCCTAGGCTTGGTAGAGTGGCCTAGTGTAGAACGTATCCTGTAGAGTCCAGCGGCACAGCCTCCCCTATTACGCAAGCTGGGTACTTAAGGCATGCCCACCATGTCTGTTGTGTACACCCTCCTGTTATCGGTGAGCCTTGATTGCTATTGGCACATCCAAGGTCAACCACCATCTGTGTTCTCTCCATGGTCACAGAGCACAAGCTGCAAAGCAATCTGCAGGTGGCTGCTATTTGTTCTGGGCTTAAAGGTGCCCAGGCAAGGCCAAGCTGTGAAACAAAGGCTGGCTGCTGCTAGTGCCAGACCTGAAGCAACGTAGTGAGAAGTATGAGGCTCTGTGGCCTTGTGGGGGAGGACTCAGAAAAGGAGCAGTGGCCTCTGTCAGCACCTCTGTCTGGGAAAAAGCTGCCCTCCAACACTTGCCCTGATACCAGACAATTCATTTTCTCCCTGTACTGATGCCTTTTAGTCTGCTGTCCCCATGCTGGAGCTCAGAGGCAATGAGTCCAAGTAAGTCTGTGCATGTGCCCTTTAAGAGAAACTGCCTGAAAATCCTGCAATTTATGTCTCCCACAGCCTCAATCCCTACCAGTTTTACAGCCAGGAGTTATGGGGACTTATCTTCCTAGCACTGGAACCCTGGGCTGGGGAACCTAGTGTGAGGCTGGGACCCCTTGCTCCAGAGATATCCCTTCTGATTTCTATCTGCCACATGTGGGTGAGGGACCAGCCTCTTCCACATCTCCACCTCTCCTACCAGTCTTGATGTGGATTCTTCTTTAATTCTGTATTTGGTTTCTTCTTTAATTTTGTAATCATAGGACATTCATTCAGCTCAATTTCTGAAGATTCTAAATGATGGTTCTTCTATAATTTAGTTGTAATTTTGATGTGGTTGTGTGAGGGGGCAAGCTATGTTTACCTGTGCTGCCATCTTGATTGGAAGTTCAGTAATTGTCTTTTAAATTAGTAAAAATGAGGTAAAAAGGGAACATACTGAACAGAATTTAAGTTAGTACAGATATTCCTGGAGAGCAATCTCATGAGTATATGAAAACCCTCAAAACTTACCTAGGCTTTGAAATATATAAAATAGTTAAGACTATTATTCAGATGGGCAGTTCTCACCTGGAGTTTTAGGTCATTGCAATCAGGTGACAACTGAGACTGGACATCTGCTATGGTCTTTTTGCTCACACATTTAGAGCTTCAACTGGGATAACTAGGATTTCTGGGAGCTGGTTACACATCCCTCTATCCCGTACATTCTCTTCATGTGACTAACATGGGCTTCCTCACAGTATGGTAGTCTCAGGGTGGCTGGACTTTTTGCATGGCTGCTGTTTTCCACCAAAGCAAGCTTTCTGAGAGACCTAGGCAGAGGCTGAAAGACTACTTGTGACAGTCTTGGAAGCCATTCAATATCATTCCAACTGCATGCTTCTGGTCAAAAGCAAGTCATAAAGACAACTCAGATTCAAGGGGAAGAGACTTACATAAGGGTGCAAATACTGGGAGGTATGTGTGTGTATGTAACTTTTTTTAAAATGATATTTCTTTCAGAAACTTTTGGAAGTGTTTATTGGTTATTTATAAAACACGAAGTTAATTCTTTAGTGGCTATGAATGCATCTTATTTATTGCAGGAAAATCCTGAAGAAGGAAGGGCCAGTATTTACAAGTCAGTCGTCATCAACACTTCTAAGGAGATGATGTGCTTCAGTGACTATCCCATCCCAGATCATTTTCCTAACTTCATGCACAACTCCCGGGTCCTGGAGTATTTCAGGATGTATGCCAAAGAATTTGACCTTCTAAAGTATATCAAGTTTAAGGTAGGAAATTTTGTGGGTATCTTTGTGTTTGAAGTTGTCCAGTAAATGAATAAGTGTGCTTCATTCAGCAGTGCTTACATGTAAATACTGGTCTGCTGTCACATCTATCATATCTAGACGAAGATTGCACTCTGTGTCTTCTCTGTGTCTGAAAAATATTCACAGAAAGGTCCTTATGTTGTATATTTTGGCTGCAGTTCCAGGAAACCACCTGCCAGAATGTTTTCATTGCCTTCATTTTAAACTATTTGATTGTTATAAAATAAGTAAGGGAGAACGTTTTCCCAGTTAGAGAGGGAAACTGACAGGTATGGGAACATAGTCAAGGTATGGAAACTTTAAAACTCTCTGGTTCCACAACTTGTCCACTAGAGCTTAGCCCTTTTATACTTTCTAAAGTATTTTCTAATGCCTTATTTTATGTGATCACAACAACCCATTGAAATAGATAATGGGAAGTTAATGAGAAAGCAAAGAAGTTAACACTGGTCAAGAGGGAAGAACACTGAATTAGGCAACAAAAGCTTGAATTCTACTTTTTTTTTTTTTTTTACTAATCAACTTGTTACTTCAGACAAGTAAATTCCTCAATTTTCACATGTCTTAATTTTGTTTTCTGTAAAACAAGATGATTGTACTAGATCACTTCAATGGTTTCTTCCTGCTGTAATGTCTTCCATGACTTTTCTATCACTTTTAGCCAGGGACATAAAAGAACAGATATTCCTGACAGCTGGCAAAAAGCTTGAATCTTCTACATTTTTTCTTTGTGATGAAAACTCTTAGGATCTACTGTCTTAACAACTTTCAAACATACCATACAGCAGTGTTAACTGTAGTTACATGTAGTGCATTATATCCCCAGTCCTTATTTATCTTATAACTGGAGTTTTGTACCTTTTCACCACCTTAATTCAATTATCCTATCCCCACCTCCTTTGTATTGGGTTGGACAAAACATTCATTTGGTTTTGAAGTGAAGACACGTTTTTCATTTTCACCTTTATTGAACAATGTATTCACATTTTGTTCTACTACCTTCTGCCATCTTTCAGGCAACTTCAGAATTCCATTTTCCCAAAACATTTTATGTTTCTGAGCAAAGAACTTTTTTAAGTGCCTTTTGCGGCCTTCCAGGAAATTGAAATTTTTTCCATTAAGAGAATTTTGTAAAGACCAAAATAAATGGAAATCCAAAGGTGAAATGTCTGGCAAATGCAGTGAATGAATCATACTTTCTCAGCCAAGCTGTAACAGCTTTTGTCTGGTCATCAAAGAAACATGCAGTCTTGTGTTATCCTGGGAGAAGGTGATACATTCTCTGTTGACTAATTCCAGATGCATTTTGTCGAGTGCTGCTTTCAGTTGGTCTGATTGGAAGCAGTACTTGTTGGAATTAATCACTTGGTTTTCTGGAATAAGCTCATAATAAAGGACTCCCTTCCAATCTCACCATATACACAACCTCACCTTCTCTGGATGAAGACTGGTCTTTGGTGTGGATAGGGCTTGTTATTTCACTTACCCCACAGTCTCTTCCAGTCCACATTATTGTAAAATATCCATGTTTCATCACCTGTTACAATTTGTTTTAAAAGCAGAATGCTTTCATTACATTTAAGTAGAGTATTGTATGTGGAAATATGGTTAAGAAGGGTTTTCATTTCACTTATGTGGAACCCAAGTATTGAAGTGATTAACATAGTCAAGCTGGTGCAAATGATTTTCAAAACTTATTTGAATATTTTGAGTATGTTGGCTATCTCCTGTGTGGTATAACATTGATTGTTCTCAGTTAATGTCTCGATTTGATCACTAACAACTTCAACAGGTCTACCGTACCATAGAACATCATCCAGGGAGAAATCTCTAGCACAAAACTTCACAAACCACTTTTTGATGTGTTTGATCAGTCATAACACCTTCTCCATACACTGCACAATTGTTTTTTTGCATTTCAGTTGCATTTTTACCTTTCTTGAAATAATAAAATGAAATATGCTGAAAATGTTTATTTTATTCCATCTTCAATATAAAAATGGCTACACAAAAATTCACCAATTTTGATGTTTTTTTTAAATGCATGCTGATATGACAGCTGTCACAATATAATCTAACAAAATTGTTTCAAATGAAGTTAAAGACAACTAAGTGCCACTAAAGCCATCTTATGGGAAAAACGAATGAATGAAATTTTTGGCCAACCCAATACTTTCTTTCTCTGTTCTTTTCTCTCTCTCTCTCTCTCTCTTTTTCCTTTTTTTAATCCTAACTCAAGGACATTTTTTTCATTGCTTTTAAAGAGAGAGAAAGGGGGAGAGAGAAAGAAAGAAACATCAGTGTGAGAGAGAACCATTGATTTGTTGCCTCCTCTATGTGCCCCAACTGGGGGTTGAACACACAACCTAGGTATGTGCCCTGCCTGGGAATTGAACCTGCAACCTTTCAGTGTATGGGACGATGTTCAAACCAACTAACCCACACCAGTTAGGGCCTTCCTTCTGCTTTCTGATCATTCTGCTAAATCATGCCTTTTTCTGTTTAACAACAATAAAAATGGTAATATCCAGGGACAACTTCCAAAGTAAGTCATTTACAGCCCAATAGTACTTTTCTTCACTTGCTTAAACACTGATTGAACAAGTTTGTTACCATTCTAAGCAGTGAAGATACAAAGACAAAAACAAAACAATACAAATCCAGTGATTTCATAGTTAAGGCGATGGAAAAATGAAAAAAGATATTATAAATACAATTAATAAAAATAAAGAATGTTGACCTTAAAAAAGTCAGCCAGATATTTCTCCAGCAAAATAGGTTTTTTCAGGTATTACAACAAAGAATTGCAATCCAGAACATACAACCATGTTGGCCCACGCAAGTCAGCTAAAATAAAGAAGAGGGAACTCTTTTACAAAGGGGAAGAAGAAGTTGAGAGGACTATTACAAAGAGTTCTCCCTGTTGTGCTTCATGATTGACATAGGGCATGACAGCTCCCCTCCCCGCCCTTCCTACTTCATTTTAAATGAGATTTCCATTGACTTTTTTTTAAAACAAGCGTTACAGGGTGAGAAATTCTATAGAGATCTGTATATTACAGCTCAGAGGAGGGATGTTTAACCCATCTGGTCATGAGGTATCAGGCATGAAGGAAGTTTTCTTAGAGGAGATAATATCTAAAGGAAAGGTTGAACAGTGAGCAGGAATCAGCCAAATGAAGAAGGAATAAAAGGATGATCCAGACAGAAGCACTAGCCTGTGTAAAAGCAAGAACTACAAATAGTGCAGAATGCCTAGAGTATAAATGTTTGGAATCTCTATTAGTCCACCAAGACATTATGGTCATAGACCCTAGAAGCACATAGGGACACATTCTTAATGTTTTCTTAGGCTGGACAGAGTAACCCATATATATTTATTTTTTAAAACTAAAAATTATACCACTGACTATCCCATCTCACAGCTTCTTCTTTGATAGTTACTTGTAAAATAGGCATTTATGGGAGCCAAAGAGAGGTTTATTAACATATAACTTTTTTATGTAAATGAACCACTGAAATGTTTTTCTACTCTACTAGAAAAGGGAGCCCTATAGTTCAGTCACATGTTTGAGGATAGACAGTGAGAACAGTACTTGGGGTAAGAAGACATCAGAGGGTCTCAGGATGTTTGGGGGTCAGGAGAGGAAGAGGCATTTAGTGCACAGGGTATCTTAGAAGCACTGGAGAAGCCTAAGGTTTATTCAAGTGTTGCATTGCCTATGGCAGCAATTTTCAATCTTTTTCATTTCATGGCACACATAAACTAATTACTAAAATTCAGGGGCACATCAAAACACATTTTTTGCTAGTCTGACAAAAAATAGGTATAATTTTGATTCATTCACACTAGACAGGTACTGTTGTGTTGGCTGTAGTCATTTTTTAATTTGACAATCTAAGGGAAAAGAGTCCAGTGCCCCTAACTAGTCAGGTATTGCATGTTTCAAAAATTCTTGTGGCACACCGGTTGAAAATCATTGCCTTAGGGCACTGTCCCAAAGAACTAGTAATTTGCACTTTTCTAGAAGCAGTGCATCATTAGCCTGCCAACTCTATTTTATTTAATTGGTCTCATGGAAGTTTTCTCACTCTGACCACATCTCACAAAACTGTTATTTGTGGAGTATGGAAATCAAATACTCTTGCATGAGCCCTCTCATGTGATGTCAGCTCTTTGTGTCACACTCTGGCAGGAGACTCAGGTCAGGGAAGATGTCCACTATAGAGGCTGTGGTTACCATCCACTGTAGTTATCACTTTTCTTTTCAGACTACTGTGTGCAGTGTGAAAAAGCAACCTGACTTCTCCACCTCAGGCCAGTGGGAAGTGGTCACAGAATCTGAAGGGAGAAGGGAGGTAAATGTCTTTGATGGAGTCATGGTTTGCACTGGCCATCATACCAATGCTCACTTACCCTTGGAAAGCTTCCCTGGTGAGTAGCCTACTGGGAAGGAAGACCCTTGAACCAGGCCGCTATCCTGATCCCTGAGAAGTGGGGCGATTTCGGTTTTAGAGATTCCTACCTTGGGATGAAATAAGGCTTATCCTAATTCTGCATATTCTCCTCAAAGATGTGGGAGTAATTGTATTATTGGCATTTGGGAGGTAGAGAGAATAGTAATTTTAGAAACTAGAGAAAAGTTAGAGGGCTCTATATTTAGTTTCACAATAGTTTTTCTAAGGATCAAGAGAAAGTACATGGAGTTATGAGCATTAGGTTGAATGAGGATTTTCAGCAATCATGGAAACAAACAAAAGTATTGAGTTTATAAGGAAGAAATTAAAGCTTAAGGAAATAATTCATTATAGTCTTTGACCTGGATTTTCATTTTGAACAAAAGCACTCTGTATATTCTAGAGTTTATAAGAATATATATACTCCAGTTGAAATGGGAGTAGGTATTTAAAGAGAATGAAAAGACAAAAGAGAATGGAAATTTTCTGAAGCCATTTGTATTTCTGAGCCTACAAGTCCAGGATACAAAGAGATCCTTAGTGAAGCAGGCTATTTATTATAAGGAATTCACAAGGTTCTGCTCTGAGGCTATGGGAGACAGGCAAAAATATTCAGAAAGGCAAGTAAATAAAGGGAGAACATATAGAGAGTATATGTTTAAAGTCTACACACTGTAAAAAAAAATGATTTGTCAAATAATATCATCTGAACTATCACCTGATAATTATTTTTCCTCCTCCTGCAGGAATTGAGACATTCAAAGGACAGTACTTCCATAGCCGAGACTATAAGAGTCCAGAGCGTTTCACTGGAAAGAGAGTCATTATAATTGGCATTGGGAATTCTGGAGGGGATCTGGCTGTGGAGATAAGCCATGTAGCCAAGCAGGTTTGAATAAGCAAATGATTTACTTTGCTTCACCAAAAAATCTACGGGTGGACTCAACAGAGAGTATGAATACCTGCACATAGCTCATCAGTGCCAATGGCAGATGTGGGGCGTGGTTCATTGCCTCACTTGATAACACTGATTGATGGTATCATGGCACCAAGGTTGCCAGTTAGATTCCCGTTTTTAGATTGGCCTCACACTAAGGAATGAGGTCATGGCCACAGACTGTGCTCGTAATCCCGATCAGCTGTTCTCTTCAGGCTTTGAACCAAATAATTGATTCAGAGGGAGAGCTTGTCAGAATGTAGTACTCAGAAGTGTGGATCTTTTTTTGGCCAGCAGCAGTGCCATGCTCTTATGTGAAGGAAAGCACACTGGGTCACTGAAAACTTTTCACTCATAGGATGGTGGGTGAATGTTCCTCTTCACTCCCCAACTGGAAAAAAGAAGCAGTCTAATTTTCCCAAAGACAGTACGCTTATCAGTATGAAAGTGTCCATACTGTAGCACATGCAGGCAGCTCACACCAGCCTTTGCATACAGTTAGGTAACAGAGAATGACATTTTTACTAAAGCGATTTCTATGACCTTGAGGGATTTTTTGTTTGTTTTGTATCACAGATTTTGAACTGGAAAGAAAGTGTCTTCATTATAAATTCCTAGAAAAAGACATGTCATTTTTATATTTTGTTATTCGTATCTTTATTGAATCATAACTATCGATAGTTAAATGTATGGTTGTTCTTCACTTAACTGTAATTATGCTGTGCAGGAGATTTAGCCAGAAAGGGTTATAAAATGACTGTCCAGTTTTCTGTTATTTTACTAGAAATCTTCATTTTTTTTCAATTAAATAATCAATGAAACATTTCTCAAGTACAGGCTTTGGCATTGGAAATTCAGCTCTTCCACTTGCTAGCTGTACGATCTGAGGCAAATTATGCATCTCTCCATTCCTCTCACCCATGAAATGGGGATAATAATACCTCCTGAGGAGGTCATTGTGGTGGTTAAATAAAATACAGATAAAGGACCTGGCTTACAGATCACAAATCTCAAAAAATGGAAGTGATATGATGATAATGTGTTAGCGAGACTAAAAGATTTGAATGCTGTACCTTCCACCCTGGAGAAAACATTTGGAGGGACAGAAAATAAGAGTGCTTAACTTTACACATTTATTCTCACTCATAGTGACCTTAAGCACTATCATAATTAAGCACTTTTACACAGTTGGAAAAAAAAGGTTAATATCAATATAAATGAAAACAGATTGTTCTGGTAATAATGCAAACAATGTCAAAGGCAAAAGAGGCTGAGGGTTTTGAAATAAATGATCTCCAGTTTCTTTCAGCTTTGCTGTTCCACGGTTTTAAATGAGTTGAACAGGGGGTAAGTGCTAGAGAGTTCAAAGGATGGAGAGGAAATTGTCAGCCAGAACAATCAGTGGTGTCTTCATGGAGGAGGCAGACTTGATCTGGATCTTAAAAATGGATAGGTTTTGCGGAATTGAGAGGATGGGGGCTTTTCAGGGAGGTATAATAACAAACAGAAATGCTGTGGTGTTTAAGAGCAAGACATATTCTTGGTCAGTGAATATACCAATCTGATTGTAAGCTAAATGTCTAAGAAGGATCGTGCAGGCACTGAAAAGCCAGACTACTGAGTTAAACTTCCTTTGAATAAAATGGGGTACTTTTAAAGAATTATGAACCAGAGAATGATCAAAGCAAACAATTTTTTTTCCCATGCACCAGGTTTTCCTCAGCACCAGGAGAGGGGCTTGGATCATAAATCGTGTAGCAGACCATGGATATCCTAATGACGTGTTATTCCTGTCTCGATTTAACTATTTTGTGGGGAAGATTTGTGGTCAATCATTAATGAACACATATTTGGAAAAAAAGATGAACCAAAGGTTTAACCATGAAATGTATGGCTTAAAGCCTAAACACAGGTATGTTCTCAGGATGGGATTGAAGCAGCAATAACCAAAGCACAGAAATAAGGACTGTTCAAATAGCCTAATAGTAGAGCTACCTGTATACATTAGAAAAATCTACAGAATCTGAGATCAGATTTCCACCTTGCCCCCACAGACATCCAAGATCTCTTGGTCTGTAATCTTTGATCTATGATTCTCCTTGGTGTTAACCATCTGATCATTTCCCTAGGTACTAGTTTGTTTTTTCTTTAATACATGATGTCTAACAACAACAAAATGGTAGTAGAGGGCAGCGTATCATTCATTTATTAATCCATGAAACAAACATTGAGCACCCCTTGTGAGCCAAGGATTACACTGGGCATGAGCATACAGAGATTAAAAACCTAATAGTAATACTAATGCAAATAATAACACCTTACCTTTTTGAGGACTTAATAAATTGGCATTTCTCCTCCATTTTATAGGTATAAAAATTGACACTAAAGCTAATTAGCCCAAGATTACAAAGGAGGTAAATGGCAGGTTCGAGAAATGGATTTTACCTTAACTACTGAGAAGACTGACGATAGAATACGATAAAGAAATGTATGCATGCTGTGAGAGTCTGAAGGACGGGAGTCCTCACACAGCCACTTATGGAAGCTGTGAAAGCATTTCTAGGGGGTGATTTTAAATGCTTTTTCCCTCCAACTTTTTACTTTTTTAATATTTAGATTTACTTCATACAAATTGGTAAATACAATGAGCACCCATATACTCTTCACATAGATTCACCTATTTTTAATAGTCCACTATATTTGCTTTCTTTCCCCCTCTCTGAAGATAGATCCATACATATATATCATATATACTACAGACATACATGTACACGTTTTTTCTAAACCATTTAATAGTAAGGTGCAATTATTAAGACACTTTACCCTAAATTATTCAACATATATTGCCTGAGAAAAGGCATTCTCCTACATAAACATAATACAATGATCACACTTGGAAATTTAACATTGATAAAATACCATTATATAATGTATTCAAATTTATCAAGTTATCCCAATAATATATATTTATAATTTTTTATTTTATTGATTATGCTATTACAGTTGTTCCTTTTTTCCCTCCCCTTTATTCCTCTCCACCCTGCACCACCCCCCCCCCCCGCACCCCTCCCCCTTAATTCATGTCCATGGGTGGTACATATGAGTTCTTTGGCTTCTCCATTTCCTATACTATTCTTAACCTCCCCATGCCTATTTTGTACTTACTATTTATGCTTCTTATTCCCCGTATCTTTTCTCCATTCTTCCCCCTCCACTACCCCTCTGTTTTACTATTCATAGTTTTTTATCTTCTTTTTCTTAGATAAGTCCCTTTAACATTACATATTATAAGGGCTTGGTGATGATGAACTCCTTTAACATGACCTTCTCTGGGAAGCACTTTATCTGCCCTTCCATTCTAAATGATGGCTTTGCGGGATACAGTAATCTTAGATGTAGGTCCTTGTCTTTCATGACTTTGAAAACTTCTTGCCAGCCCCTTCTTGCCTACAAGGTTTGTTTTGAGAAATCAGCTGATAGTCTTATGGGAACCTTTGTAGGTAATTGTCTCCTTTTCTCTTGTTGCTTTTAAGATTATCTCCTTATCTTTAATCTTGGGTAAGGCAATGATGATGTGCCTTGGTGTGTGCTTCCTTGGGTCCAACTTCTTTGGGACTCTCTGAGCTTCCTGGATCTCCTGGAAGTCTATTTCTTTGGCCAGATTGGAGAAGTTCTCCTTCATTGTTTGTTCAAATAAGTTTTCAATTTTTTGCTCTTCCTCTTCTCCTTCTGGCACCCCTATGATTTGGATGTTGGATCATTTAAAGTTGTCCCAGAAATTCCTAAGCCTCTCCTCATTTTTTTGAATTCTTGTTTCTTCATTCTGTTCTGGTTGAATGTTTATCTCTTCCTTCTCCTCCAAATCTTTAATTTGAGTCCTGGGTTCCTTCCCTTTACTATTGGTTTCCTGTATATTTTTCTTTACTTCACTTTGCATAGCCTTTGCTTTTTCCTCCATTTTGTGACCATACTCAACCAATTCAGTGAACATCCAGATTACCAGTATTTTGAACTGGGCATCTGATAGGTTGGCTCTGTTCATCACTTAGTTCTATTTTTGGAGCTTTGATCTGTCCTTTCATTTGGGCCATATTTCTTTGTCTTGGCGAGCCTTGGAAATCATTGGAAGGGACAGAGCCTTAGGTATTTGCCAGGGCAGCCCAGGTCACTGAGTTGTGATGCTCTGTGTGGGGGAGGAGTCTGAGAGGACACAATGCCACTTGTTCGTCTCTTGGCTGGCTTTCAGTCACTTCCCCCACTACCCACAAGCAAATTGGGCCCTTCTGGTGCTGATTCCCCAGTGCGTGGTTTTGTGTACATTCTAGGACCCTGTGGGTCTCTCCAGTGGACTCTCCTGCGAGGCTGGAAGTTTCTCCTCTGCTGCAACCCCCAAAGCTTTTTACAGTCAGAGATTTTGAGGCTTTCTTTTCCCGCACTGGAACCCTGGATTGCGCAGTCTGTCTCACTCCCCAGCTGTTCCTCCAGTTTATCTGCAGGCAAATGTGGGACCGCCTGGTCTGCCAGCCACTGCCTTACCCACCCAGTCCTCCAACTGCTGCCTTGCCATGTGTCCCCTCTGCCCTGGCTGCCCATCTCCGCGCCTCCTACTGGTCTGGATGAATGTTTCTTCTTTGGCACCTTGGCTTTTTTGGACTTCCATACAGTTTGATTTTCTGGCAGTTCTGGTTATTTTTTGTTTTTAAATTTGTTGTTGTCCTTCTTTTGGTTGTGCGAGGAGGCAAAATATGTCTACCTATGCCTCCATCTTGGCCAGAAGTCCTCAGCTTTTTTTATTTTTAAATCCAGGATCCTGTCAGATATTAGACCATTGCATTTAGCTGTCATGTCTCTTTAATATCTCTTAACCTGAAATAATTCTTTAAAAAAAAATCCAAGCTAAATTGTTTTGCAGAAAGTCTGTATGTTTGGATTTGCATAGTTAATCTTCCTTTATTATCCAGGTTACACATTTTGGGCACAAATACTCATAGGTAATGGTGTGCCTTGGTAGGTCACATCAGGGGCCACATGATGGCAGTTTATTCCATATTAACGTTGTTAAATTTGATCACCTGGACAAGGTGGTATCGACCAGGATTTTCCTCTGCTAAGATTTTTTTCCTTTGAGTGGGGTGATATTTTGAGGCTCTGTTCCCCAACACCTTTCACCCATTTATTTCACCCTAATTATGAAAACTGTAGCATCAATCACTTTGGGGATTATAAAATAAATTGAGGCTTTATTGAGTTATTGAATAATAGGAGATAGTCGAGCAATAGGATAAGGAAGTAGCATTCCAATTATAAGTACAAGATCTTGAAATAGTAAAAAAAAAATATGTTTTGGGGTCTGCATGTAGTTTGGTTTGACTAGACTATATGGGAAAGATGGGAGAATGACTGAGTGCATCTCCAGGCTCACTGGGCAGGTCCAAGAAAACCTGCATAATCTTTGCTAAATAAAAAGTTTGGGATGAAGACAGGCCAGATCCATTGCAAGATTTTAAGCAAGTGAGTGACATAATAGTAAATGAATTTTAGAACAACCACTCCAAAAATTATGTAGAAGATAGATTAAAAGAGGATAGAGCAGGAGGCTGTAAAGACTGCTGTAATAGTCCAGTGAGATAGAAAATAGATAAAAACTATTCTGGGGATGTTAAGAGGAGAAAAGAAAAAGACCTGGTGACCAGATGTAAGACTCACTATTTTGTGGCTTAGGCAACTATGTGGATGGTGGTACTGTTAGTGAAAAGGAGTAAATTTGGAAAAGATGAAATCATGAGGTTAGAATGAGAACAGAATCTGTACTTAAAGATTATAGTCAAAGCATAACTAAATGCAGCAAACCAGTAATAGGTATTTAAACATACCATAGTCCTGAGGCTAGACCAGCTCTGTCTGAACACAATGGGCTGAGGCTTCTCAGAGCCTGTTAACTTAGGATCCAAAGGTACAGACTGCTTTTTAGAAAGGTGCAAGACACTGGAAACCCTGCCTTATTTTTTATTTATTTATTTTTTTTTTTGGCATCCTTCTCTTATGGTATCTAGGAAACACAAGGAAGTTCATAGAAAACCATTTTGATACAAATACTGAAATCCTAGGCTGTGTCATCCTGGGCAAGCCACTTCTTTATGCCTCAGTTATCTATAAAACCTGGATGACACCTGTCCTGCTTTCTTTATTGGGTTTGTGTGAGACTCAAATAAGTTAGAGTATGTAAAATCAATGTATAACTATAAATTACTATGCACATATAATTTATTATACAGTTTGAAAAGTGATAGTCTAAGTCTAGCTCTTGGGCCTTTGAAACTGGAAATGAGACTCAACAGAATGCTTATAGTCCAGGTCTGTATACTACTTGTCATACAGATAAAAACCATTGCCCTGTACTCGTATTATATCACTGAGAATATTACTATTCCTTGAGTACCATACATACAGTCTCCAAATAAAACCATTCTTCCTTCACTTCTCTAGTATCTTTCCTTCAATGCCATCCAGGGTCCAACTTCTTCTCTGAGATATTGATCTATGTCAAAATGCATTAAACCTTTCCCAAATCCCATGGATAGACCAAGAGGGAGACCATCAGCATTTTGTTGAACCACCTCCATCAAAGTAGAATTTTACTTACTGGTTACTGATTCTTCTTTCTCACCATGCCTCCATGGTCACTTTCATATCTCCTTCTTTTTGGTCTTTATCACCATTCACAGAGCTCTGAGTCAACATCCAACACTCAATGATGTTCTGCCAAATCGTTTAATTTCTGGCTTGGTGAAGGTGAAAGGAAATGTGAAGGAATTCACAGAGACAGCTGCCATATTTGAAGATGGCTCCAGGGAGGATGACATTGATGCTGTTATCTTTGCCACAGGCTATAGCTTTGCTTTTCCTTTTCTTGAAGATTCTGTCAAAGTAGTAAAAAACAAGATATCTCTGTATAAGAAGGTCTTTCCTCCTAATCTGGAAAAGCCAACTCTTGCAATCATAGGCTTGATCCAACCCTGGGGTGCCATTATGCCCATTTCAGAGCTCCAAGGACGCTGGGTCACTCAAGTATTTAAAGGTAAGTAACCATACAAGTTGACTACTTGATTACTTGGTAGTATGTTTAATTATATTTATGTACTCGCTTTTAAATAGCTGACACAGTATGTATAAATGTTACAGTGCCTGACACAAAATTAGTGCTCAAAAATCATAAAGTAATTATTTATAACCATGGACATATATTGGAATCTCCTGGGAAATTGTCCCAAAATAGGCATACATTGCCTGGTTGTGTTTGTTTTGTAAGTGTGGGGTCAGGGAGACTTTGAGATCATTGAGAAAATGTTCCGCAGGTGATTCCAATGTGTGCTGCAGATCAGAATCTAGTCATCTAGATTTTAGTCAACTGATACATGTTTGTGAACAGAAATGGTATGATTTAATGATTTAATTTTAGCCAAAAGTTAAGGCCTGGTTGAAGGCTAGTCCAGAATGAGAAGACTGAACCTCTCAAATTTTCACTTTACCCTCTTTACATCCTCTCTTTCAGTCTTGGCTAGGAGAATTTAGCCAAGAGAAAAAAAACTTCGGGGTTTGAGGTAGTAGGCTCAATGTTAATCAGCAGAATATGTATTTCAAAAGGCTTACTTATATCTAGCATCATTAAAAAATATATTATTAGAATTACAATTGTTCTTATAAACTCTAAAAAATTAGAATATACAATTGTTCTCCTCTAAACAGTTCAGAGTAAACCCAAAGGCATGTTTTAAAAGTGCAATTGGAGTGCATTAATAGGAGAGGCAAGAATTGTTAAGTAATTTGAAAATATGCCATCTGAAGCATAACTAAAGAAGCTGAAGAGGTTTAGCCTGGAGCAGATAAGATTCAGGGGAGATATGAGAGTTTCCTTCAAATATCTGAAGAGACGTCCTATGGCAGAAGGATTTGATTTGCTCAGTATCACTTCAAAGGGTTGCACAAGGAGTAAGGAGTGAAACTTTGAGGACTACATGACATCAGCTTAACATTAAAAGCAAATGAACAAACTTTTTTCTAACAGCTGGTGCCATTTCAAGATGGAATGTACTGCTTCTGAAATTGTGAGGAGTCCAAACAGAATGGGAAGAGAATTAAAATGGCTGGATTGGCCATTTGGCAAGGCCAATATGGAGTAGATTCAAACCTCAGAACAGGGAGAAATCTAACAGAGAAATTATTTGATTCTGTGGTGGTTATAATAAAACTTGCTACCATTACTAATGTTTAATTAAAACTATTCAGAGTTCTTGCTGGAATTACAGCTTCCTATTCCCTGGTGCATATCTTTATGGTAGCAGAGAAAAAAAAGAAACAATGATATTAGAGTTGAAAATCAAAGACCTTTACAAATTTCCCCAAAGTTCTGTCATTTCTTAATTCCTCTTAGTTCTATTGTTGGTGAATTTAAAAGGTTTGCTGATGGAATATAGGTTGGAGATGAAAGCAAGAAAAGAATCAGCTCAGGTGCTGTGGCCTTTAATTTAAATTGGTAACCTAAGAGGGGGAGCAAGATAAGAAGATGGGAAATTAAAAAAAAAGGTGGGAAATAAAAAAATATATGTGGTAAAAGTATATTATGTGTCTAAACAAGGAAACACTGCAAGAACAGTATTAATGGATTAAGAAAGAACTGCACCACAGAATATTGTGTACATATGTAATATATAGCTTTATATATTTTTAAATCTATGTATCTATCTAATCTATGCAGGTTTTTTCTTTGTTTTTTATTTTTTGTTTTTGATTAATTGGCTACCTCCCCCAGGCAAGAAATATACCTCCTTCCCCGTAATGTTTTTAGTTAATAGAAGTAAAAGTTATGGTTATATTATAAGTAATTTAGAAGTCAGCTCTCAAAATATGTTTCCTGAGCATCGTAAGAGACCTGAGCTCAATCTTAAATGAAGCATTTCAGTTTTTCCCTCACTAATATATGAATATACATAATAATTACTGAGGCTAAAAATGAGAAAACACATGGCAAAACACAGAAGGCTATTTCTTGAGTGTTGAATTTCTGAGTCTCACATTTTAAGAGAGGCATGCTGGGATAGTAACTAGTGTGTGCCCAGAGAAGGGCAATCAACATGGCAGGGCATGTAAAACCAGTTATGTGGGGAACTAGTACACTGCAGTTGATGATAATACTTGGAAGAAATTATGACATTTGTTTTCAAATATTTCAAGGCCTGTCACTTAAGATTAGATTCCTTGGTTTCAAAAGGCAGACTAAGTCTAATGGGGCAAGTTGCATGAAAGTAGATTGGGGGTCAATAAAAGAAACATGTTTTCAGCAACTAGAGCAGCCAATTAAAAATCATCTCCTCAGAAGGTAATGAGACCCCCCATTGGCAGAGATGTTTAAGGAGGAAAGAAATAACCATTTGATTAAAGTGTTTGTACAGGGAAGGCTTGTATTAGGTATGACATATTACCATTTTAAAATTATACCATTCAGAATTTTTTGAAGTAAAACCTTCTGGTTGGGTGTGGCTAAAATTATCTACATGGCATAGTGCCTATAAATCTTGGCATAAAGATAATCCTTAGATTAGAGTTGTTTACATTGATTTAAATACTAATTCAGACTTTCTCTAGCTGGGTCCTTGATGTTAAATTCCTACTATTGGAACTGTTAGTTCATCAGTGCTACAATTTATCTGTAAACACTGGGTATTATGAGTTGCCCTTGGCCTTACCCCCATTCTGACCAAATAAAAGAGTTAAGAAGACGGGGCTTATCTTCCACAGGACTTTAGGCATGCAATGGGATTGCAAGTTAATTTTTACTTCTCCCTGTGGTATAAAGCCTCTTCATTATTAAGAGTACAGCTGTAGATGTGTTCCTCCTGCCCTTTTACTTTGTACTTCATTTGCCACATACTTTAAGGCCATTTATCATTTCTTTGTGTCCATATTTCAATTCTCAATCAAAAGACTATGCTAAGGAGGAAGCAGGTATCAGAAGACAGGGTTACAAGAAATATCTTCTAAAGACAAAGTAGAATAGAGACAGCTACTGATGTTAATAACATATTATGGTAGTAGTAGGGTAAGGTGATCGAGTGAAGGTGTAACTTCCTTAAATACAGAGAACTATCCTGTATTTCTTTGAAGTTTACATAACATAGTAATTGTTAATAGGATTATTGTTCCTACTGAGGTAGCTTTACATTTAAATTTTTGGTTTTTCTCTTTAGGGGTAAAGACATTACCTTCACAAAGTGAAATGATAACAGAAATAACTAAGGATCAAGAGAAAATGGAAAAAAGGTGAGAAATTCTTCCAGGAAAGTATGTGCTAAATTTTTCTACTTAATAAGAACAATGTTGTATATTATTTATCTTCATCGTGTTAGTTTAAGGATTTAGATTATATTTTGAAAGAAAAGGACATAATAGTTTCTGACAGTAGAAAGAAAAAATAGCACCAACTGCTTTGGATATGGATGGGGAAGAAGAGAGGAGCTTAAGAAAAGTATTTGAAATCATAAATCATATGTTTAGGGCCTAGAAGAGAAGTCAAGTAGTAAAAAGCATATGGAAAGTCAGACATACAGTTTTTGCAAGGATTACTTGAAGTGCTTGTAGAGCTGCCAGAGAAAGAAAGAGTGACAATGAATTTAAGCAGTAGATATGGTTGAATTCCAAATTGCAGGTAGATTTACAAATCTGGAGAGGCCACTTTGTGGGCCATCATCATGTGATAGCACACTGTGGTCACAGTGGCTCATGATTTGGAAAGGTGGTAGCATCCGCCAGCTGCCTAGTGCTTGGGTGGATACAATAATTCAGCATTCTGAATTTCAGAACTGAGCTTATTCACTGGTTGATTTTTATTTGGACAAAGTGGAAGTTGATGATAAGTTCCTAAAATTTTGTGCTAAAGTCAGAGGCATAATCATTCCAAGTCTAAGGGTGTGATTTTCTTTAATTGGTTATATTAGCATAACTCTTCCTTGTCTTGGAGGAGGAGAAAGAGAGTTTTTATTTAATCTTTATGCTGTTTCCAGGTACTCTATTTTCTCCTTGTTTTCACTGTCAAACTTCTGCAATAAAATTCAGAATTATATGCTCTAAATTCTCACCCTTTCTTTCTCCTAAGCTCCCTGCATTGTAACTCCTGCTACTGCTTTCTTAAAGATCATCCATGACCAACTTCATTTTCCTTCCTCTCTGAGTTTGGTACTTGTAAACATTTCATCATCCCTTCTTGAAGTGCTTTCTTTCCTTGTTTTTCTGGTACTAAAATATCCAATTTCAATTCTCCCCTTCCCTTTACTTTGACTTATTTTTGTTTGGCTATCTTCTGACTAAGCCATCTCTAAGGATATAATTTACCCATTATTGAGGGTCATCTATGTACCTACACTAAATGGTTTGTATGTATGAGTTTATTTATTCTTCATAATAACCCTACAAGGCAGGTACTAGTGAATCTCTTTGTGAAAACATCATGAATACTACAGCTTGTGACCCTATAGTACTATAGGATAAATGCATGTCTATAAACCTTTGAGCCAATGTAACATCCTTAAGGGAGAGCTCTTGAATTCTGTCCTGTCCTATCTTCTCTTCTAAACTTTAGAATCGGTCAGTTCCTGTGGAATTCCACTTCACCAGTTCTTCCTCAAATTTATTTTCTATTATTTTTTCCTGTCCTTGTTTTTGTATTATTTTAATAAGCCCATCTAATCTTAATTAACTTGACTTGGCTTTTCTCTTCCTTTCTGTCCCATTGTGCTTTCTTTTATTTTTGCTACAGTAATTAAAGAAAGAAAGTTACCATTTAGCTCTCTAAATCCCACTCCTTTCACACAGGTCTCATTATTACCACATATCCCTCTAAAAATCCCTTTTAGCTCTTTAAATCTGCACTTGGTGTAATCATTCCATCTGGTTCCATTTGTAGGGTCACTTCCTCTTGTGGGATAAGTCATCCTTATCCCTCTTTTCAAGATCCTGAATTAACTTTGGCCTGCAGAAGTCCTGCTCTGTGGATCCCACCACCACTGCTGTCATGAAATAATTAGGGGTCCCAAACTGAAGTTTTGTGTATTCTCTCTGTTAACATCAGCCTTCTGCATCTGGATCTGCTATGCTTGCCTCTCTATATCCATCCTTGTTTTTCACAACATTCCTTCTCTGCTGTAGGTAGTGCCTGCAGATATTTTATATTCACATTTTTCACTCATTCCTGCCTTATTCCTTCAATCAGCTGTTCCCCTGATATATAATACTTTCCTCTTTATTCTTAGCTTATCTCTATCTTCCACATCCTTCAAAGACTTACCATAGCTCTATTTTAACTACCCTCTTCTGCATTTCTATTTAGCAGTCTAAATCCACATGATTTGCCAAAAGTCTTATATTCTTCTATGTTTCATGTGTATCTGTCTTATCTCCTCCAGTAGATCATAAAGTCCTTAAGGATAGAGACAATGACGTATCTTTCTTCTCTATTTTCCACTGTTCCCAGACTAATATTGAGCCAGTAACAGGTACTTAGAAAGCATCAGTAATTGACTGATTGATTGATTGAATTGATTGATTAGGCCATGGTTTTTGTCTTCTCTACCTCAGGTATGTGGACAGCCAACGCCATACCATTCAAGGGGATTATGTAGATACCATGGAAGAGCTTGCTGATCTGGTGGGTGTCAAGCCCAATCTGTTGTCTCTGGCCTTCACTGACCCCAAATTGGCATTACAGTTATTCTTTGGACCCTGTACTCCGATCCAATATCGTCTACAGGGCCCAGGAAAATGGGATGGGGCTCGAAAAGCTATCCTTACCATAGATGATCGTATCAGGAAGCCTCTGATGACAAGAGCAATTGAAAGCAGTAATTCCACAACTTCAACAATAACAATGGTTAGGTTTGTGCTGGCCACTGTTCTCTTTGCTATAATTGTAACCTATTTTTAGTGGTTCCATTGTCCTTGCACCAGTTTTCTTTGGGGAGCTGGATTTAGAAATGCCTTCAGAATCTGACAAGATTGAACAACTCTCAGTTTCACACTGCCTAGAAATCTACTTTTATTTCTCTTTCCAAAGCATTAATCCTCTTTCCTCTTTTTCCCAAAATGGAATTTCAGCTTTTCATTCATATTGACTTGTCTTCCTTCTTCCTATGACCCATCATGTTTTCTTTTCAGCAACGCCTAGACTGTGAGCTCAGGTTCTCTCTTAGTCATCTTTTTATGTCCTTAACAGAGTTCCTGACACATGACAGATGCTTAATAAAATGTTTGTTGTTATCGAATATTATGGTGGGGAGCATAAATCAATATCTGTATAAGAAATGGGTGACTCCATGTAACTCTGCTTCTGCTTGGATTTGCTTTTCTATTAGAAGCTCAATATTTTGTTAGTTTTTAATATTGTAATTAAATTTATGTCTCCTGAGGGACAGAAAAAATAATAGTCTTAGAAAAGTTGTATATCTAAGATACATGTTTAATTTTGTCTCACTAGCTATTCACTAGTGTATCTGATACCTCGTCATTTTGACTCCTTTCCTCTCAGCCAAAAGTCTTTCTTATCTTAATGAAGAATCTACCTTCAATGTTCTAGGCTTTTGGGTCATTCTAATAATCTAGCATTTGTTAAAAGGTTCAACTTCATTGAAACACTTGAGACTTTAAATTAGTTGCCCTATCTTTTTCGATCTCTTAGTTTGCATATTAGAATCTAACAAGACTTTACCTTATGAAATATAAATAGCTGCATACTGTTGTAGTGTGGCCTACAAATATGATTTGATTTGTCTCCCCCTACACCTGTTTTCTCCACTCCAATCCCTCCCACACATAAAGTCTAAGTATTTGAAGAGGTCATTTCTGTATTAAATTAGAATTGATATTAACTAAATATAGGGTCATTCAGAGAGAAGGTGGGTGGGGAGGTGGTAAAGGGAAGGGTATAGGGGGTCAAATATATGGTGATGGAAGCAGATTTGACTTTGGGTTGTGGGCACACAATGCAATATAAAGATGATGTATCATAGAATTATACACTTGAAATCAATATCATTTTATTAACCAATGTCACCCAAATAAATTTATTTAAAAAGAAAAAAATAAATATAAGTGCATTCTGCTTATAACAGTTCTCTATATCCTACAGTTGTAGTTCTGAAAAATAAAGTAAATGAAATGCAAAGCAAGGATTCCGGCTTATGTTCCAGTGCCACTGTTGATTCTGTTTTCTCATCTATAGAAGTTTGCTCTGTTCTTATCTCACAGAGAAGTTAACTAAATGTTAGCTATCAGGCACATTGAATTTTATGAATGAAGATACTATATATACTATCCAGATATATGTTCATAAATAGTTGTTGTGCAATACATTTTGGGATTGATGCCTATTGCTCAGCAAAAGGATAAATTTGAAAAACTGAAAGAACAACATTAGAAATTATTGTCTTTCTCAATAATACACATAAGAGAAACAGAAATGGGAGAACTGCAACTTCCTTCTAATCATATAATTATTCAGACAATTACCTGACCTTTGGCCTAATTTACCTATGGAAACGTCTTTTGAGAATTAAAGAATTGACAACCAATATTACTTCTTAGGTCTTTTTCCTTCCCTAATCCTTATGATGTTGGGTATTTATAATCTATTAAAATGGGCCTAGTATATTTTAATCTGCAGATTAATTCAAAAGAAAATTGAGTGTTACTTGCTATTTTTTCATTTCTCTTAACATATAAATTTGTCTCTTTTAGTAGGTAAGTTTGTGAATTACAAGTCCTTTCATAATGTAATTCCAAATCGTTAGCAGCAAGTACCCCAGTTTTCTTTAAAAAAATGTTTACTCTAAATTCATTGACTGTCTCATTTTCCTTATAATGTGTAAGGTTATAAAAATCATTGACTAGACCAAACTAAAAGTAAGATATGAATAGGAAATTGAACTCAAAACAATTCAAGGTACAAACTCATAGTAACTGATGAATATGTCTAATATCAATTTGTCATATCTTGCTTTTGTAATTATATTAAAAAGTCATGTCACTTTTCCCAATTAGATTATATAATAGAATGCATCCGTATAGTGCCAAACAGCATGGACGTGCTCAAAAGCAAACTGATGTGGTATGTCAAAGGGACACAGGAGCCAACTGAAAGTGGACCCCATGGTCAGTGATGCAACAATTTGAGCAATAAAATAAATTACCTAGTATTGGATTATAACATAAAATATTAAAAATATCCATGAGTCCATAATGATATCAATGATTGAATAAATTAATGAGAGGGG